TTCAGGGATATGTTTTGGTACAGCAGCCAATAAAATATGACTGGTATAAATAGAACAGGTTTATTTTTGATCAAATGCCATCTCCAACACATGTGAACCACTAAGGATGGATGAAGGTGCTATACTCTTGGCTTGTCACAACAGACAAAGGTGAAAAAACAAAATGGTGTCTGAAAACCTCAACCTGAGCTTTTGTGATTATTCTGATTTATGACCACTTGTAAGTTGGCACCAATCAACAATATTTGAGGCTAAGACAAATACATTTTGTCTTAGCCTCAAATTAAGATTTCTCTTTTCTTGAAAAAAGCAAGGTCCTCTTCATCTCAGAATGAATGTCCTTTTCTTTAGAAAGCAAGGTCCTCTTCATCTTATCTCTTCTTGTTTGATACCAAAATGATTATAGAAACATATATATTCTACCTTCTGAATTAATCTTCCAGAAAAGAATAAACTTGGACCTTGTAAAGAATCCTACATAGACAAGGGCTTCATAAATCAAACACATTAACAGAAGCTGAATGACTCTTCAACTCTGTTCAAAGACCTTATATTTATCAGTTTAAAAAGTTGTGTTATTGGTTTGTGTATTATGCATATTCAACCCTTGCAGTAAAATGATGCTTAATTAATGTCTAACCCTCAACATCCTATTAAAAAAAAAAAAGTTCAACTCAACATCAATTTATTTATCACGTAAGTACATGTCTTTTCTTCAAAGATTCATTAGAAACTGACAGAACACCTTGTTGAGAAATAAACATACTTTTTGAATGGAAACTGACAACTCCCTTTGACTTTCTCAGCAAAATGAGACTCTAGGAAAGTTTCCTTTATGCCTGACACATTTCAATTACATCTTTGAATGATTATTCTCTTGTAACCAAAACACATTTTTTCATGTGCTTATCTATCCAGTCTATCATACTGTTACTCTCAGGACCAATGTGAGGCTGATTGAACAAGGTAATAAATACTGTGAATTTATTTATGTTAAATCCAATTAATCACTGTATATATACAAATGGATGTTTAATTATGAAACAAGCCATTTCCCTTACATAAGTTTGCTAAAAATCCACCCAGACCATGAATACTGGAAACACTGATTAGTCTACATGCCATACTACAAATATCTGTTCACATTCCTCCATCTTCTCAACTCTCAAGACTACTAAGGACAAAACTGTGGCTGTAATTCCTCCAGGTTCTCCTTTCTTTTTACAAAAGAGACATAACATAACCCTTAACAGGGTCCAAGTGAACTTTTTATGGTAAGTAGAGCCATGTGCTGCTTAATGATGGGGATGTGTACTAAGAAACATGCTGTTGGCCATCGTGTCATTGTGCTGACATCACAGAGCATACCTAACAAACCCAGGTGGCACAGGCCATGCCACACTTAGCTCTAAGGTACAGTCTGTTGCTCTGAGGCTAGGAAACCCATGTGGCACATCAGTGTACTGCTTGTTGACAACTGTAACATGCTGTAGGTATTTGTATATCTACATGTACCCAACATAGAAAAGGTACAGCAAAAATACTGTATAAAAGATAAAAAATAGTGTATAAAAGATAAAAAAATAATAATTACCCATGAAGGGCAATTACCATGACTGCAGCTTGCAGGACTAGAAGCTGCTATGGGTGGGTGGGTGACCAGGGGTATGAAGGCGTAGGACAGTACTGTACATGACTCCAGAATTTGTAGAATTAGGCTATACTAAGCTAATAAAATATATTTTTATTTCTTCAATAAATTAACATTGGCTTACTGTAACTTTTGTTTTTTATATGCTTTTTTTATTCTTTTGTACTAACATTTAGCTTAAGAAAGAAACACACTGGGAAGCCACACAAAAGTATTTTCTCTCTTAATGTCCTTATTCTAGAAACTCTTTTCTATTATTATTATTATTTTTTTGCATCTTTTAAATGTTTTTGTTCTAAACTAAGACACACATGAGCCCAGGGCTACACAGGGTTAAGGACTGTCAGTACTACTCTCTTCTGCCTCCACATTCTGCCCCACTGGAAGGTCTACAGGGGCAACAGCAGATATGGGGCTGTCCTCCGTGACAGCAATACCTCTTCTGCAACACCTCCTAGAGGACCTGCCGAGGCTCTTATGAATCAGGTCTCACTCTTTTCAGAAACATGTTCATGGTGGTTAGCTTGGTTTGTTTCTGGTTTTCTTCATGAATTTATTTGCTTGCAAGTAGACAGTGCATCATGAGCATTCCTCTCTATTAATGAGAACCATCTTGTGTACCATGTTTTTCAAACTTTTAAAGGAACTTGTTGAGGTCTGCAAAAGCTTCTGCTAAACTCTTCATTGTGACTTCCCTGGGTTTCTTCTCCTATAGTGTTTTTTCCTCATGCATTCTCTTCAACTGTGCACTCACTCTGCAACAGGGATTTGTTTTCATCTGAGAAAAACACCTACAGCAGGACAGAAATGTAACTGGAGTTTGCCAGTAAGAATCACTAGAACTGAGTAGTGGTGAAGGACTGAGTATAGAGTTCAGGAAAGCTGAAACACACAGCAAGTCACTCCGTACACAGACACCAGCATGACTCTGGGGGTCCTCTGGAAGCAGCCCAAGATCACACCAAGCTGCAGGTGCAGCAGACCTGTCAGGCTTTGTCCCTGCTCTCCAGTCACAGGACACTGTGCCTAATTAAGCCAATTAGTTGCTCTCTTCCTTGGGAATTAAGAACTGACTAAAGTGTACTCTCTGTCTGTACTGGTCCCCGGAGGTGAGCAAAGCCATTCAGGTGGTGTACAGAAGCCACTCTTCCCACACACTGAGGAGCACACAAGCCACTTTCAGGGCAAAAGGGGAAGTGGCTGCAAAGATTTTTAATTCTGTCAAAATTTCAGAGAAAAAATTACTGTGTACTGACAATACCCAGTACTTATTTTATTGACTATATGCAAAAACTCTTGTTAGGAAGATAACTAGTGTGCAGGTAAGGTTCAAAACAGTTTAAAGTTTAGGCAAAGGTATTAGGAAGGAAGCAAATTATAGAAAATTGAACACTGATGAATAACAATAGGGCCATAATAAGAAATGTATAAAAAGTTCTTCACATCAAACTCATCTATTCTTCATAAATGAGCACCTTCTCTATTAAGTAGAAAGTCACATTATCCCATTTACAGATGAGAAACATGACCACAGACAAACCAAATGGCCTAACCGAAGGCACTAGTGTCTGATGCAGAGCTCCACACTGCTAACCACTTCACCTCCCGTCTCTCTCTGCTGCAGCAAAGGCAGAGTGGGTGGAAAGCCCAAAGAAAATAGCATGCCTCTTTATCTTACACAGCTAGAATTTGTTAAAAAAAAAAAAAAAAACAACTATCCAGCAATCCAAAGTCTGCCTTCAAAAAACAACTATCCAGCAATCCAAAGTCTGCCTTCAAACAAAAAATTAAAATGAGATCTTTGAGACAAGAAATAGAGTAGTTCTAAAGGGTAACAGCTATCCTTGCACATACCTGGTTAGTATTCATGTATAAAATATTGAAGAAAAACTCATCAGTCTTGCTTTGTGTTTATTTTTAAGAGAGTAAGAAAACTGGATAAGCTCTACAGACATCTAAAAAATAAAACTAGTTGAAGGGAAAGACAAACAACTATAAGAAGCAGAACTAAGAACTCTAGCAGTAGAATTTTATGTCAATTTCAAATAGCTCCCCATAAGCCAACAATATAAAAACCATCTCTATAGTTCAGTACAGAATGATAACTATGAAAGTGCTATGCTTCCTCTAAAGGCAGGTGTTTAATTCAAAGTTAGACAAAAGGGAAAAACACTCATGCTTAAGGGTATGACAGACACTCCAGAAGTACTGAGTAAGCTTTACTGAATGTGTGACAATTCTTCTTTGGTCCTCACTTTTAATTGTTCAGCAATATCATATAGGGTTTGTTAAAATATCTTTCATGCCTACGTTGGTAAAACGTAGGTCTCCTCTTCACCTTTTTGCATAATGCATCGTTTTGCCTGATTAAATTAAATGCATAAAATATATATAAAATAGATTTTTATTTTTTGACTTTTCTTGAAGGCTTTTAAAGGTATTTTTCCTAAACTGTACCATTTAATTGTCATTCATAGCTTCATGCTTGAAGACTTGTTACAATCACGACATTTAATGTTCACCAATAATTAACAAAGACCACAAAACAGAGTATTCGAGGAATGTTTCCACTGTGTTTGGGCTGCTTCCCTGCAGCTGTACCCACACTTTCACCCTCTGCTGGCCTGCACACTGACACAGCTATTCACTCACATACTGCTCCCTTCTACCAACCACTAGGGAAAACAGAACCGGGAGCAAAATTAATGTTTTCCAATTAAATTGTGTCTTAATGCTGGAATAGAAAATAAGATTGAATAAGCAAGCACTCTTCTCCCTTAGGCTCTCATTAGATTTAAAATTTTCTAGTCTTCTATTACCATAACATATCAGAATTTTTTCCTTTGAATGAGACTGGTTGGTCTGCTTGTGTTTGGTAGCAACCAAAACAAGTAATTCAGGTCTACCGTTCATTTAAACCACCCAACTGGAACATTAGCTTTAATAGATGCCAAATATATCACAGAGAGATAAAAGTGCTGTATAATTTCGTTAATCTTTACTTAACCATTAAGAATTAGGAAGATAATGAAATCATTCTTAACTTGAAAATCTTTTTTTAAAGAGTACCCAGAAATAATTTCGAACTTACACAGCATATTATAGCATGCTAAAAATGTGGACGACTTATACAAATAAAATAGTCAATGAAAACCCTCACTGCATATATTTATTTCCTAATCTTTCTGAAATGCCATATAATTTTTCTTAAAATAATAATTGGAACATTTTAAACTTAATATGAATTGAGCATTAAGTCTTACCTGGAAATTTAAATAGCAATTTCCTCTATTAAAAAAAAAAAAAAAGAGTTGGAGTTTAACTAATAATGACAAAAATGTATACTTACCAGCTTCTCAATTTCTGATTCAAGATTCTGTATACAGTCAAGTTTTCTCTTGCGACAGCGCTGTGCAGCGATTCTGTTTTTACTTCTTCTCCGGATGTCGTGGATACAGTCCAGCTGCTCTGGGGTCAGCTTATGCATTTTCAACAAGGATTGAAAATCATTTCGAGAGAGTGAAATTATTCGTTGTGCATTAAAGGGCAGTTTTACCTAGAATGTGAAATAAATATTAGTGACCTACTGTATTTTGTTATAATACTTAAATCGTATCTGGGAAGAGGAAGGTCCATTTTTCTAGAGTGCTTACTTTAGAGTTTAAAAACAATAGGTCTCTGTTCCCAATGTCTACACAATCCATTATAATAAAAACTAAAATTGTAATTGGTATTTTTAGCTGACTTGAGCAAGGACTCAAAAGACAAATTGAAAAGTTAGTACTTTTTCAGCAAATCAGATATATTAACACAAATATTACCATACTTTAAATGGAAAAAAAATAGAATTTATTGTACCATGGATTTCTGTAAGTCCCTTTCTTATATACACATATATACACATACACACACACACGGGTATATATATTATATATATGTATATGTGTGTGTATAATATACATATATATATATGTGTGTATATATATGTATATGTATATTATACACACACACACACATACATACATACACACATACACACATACATATATGGGGAAGGTACTGGGGATTGAACTCAGGGGCACTCAACCACTGAGCCACATTCCCAGACCTATTTTGTATTTTATTTTGAAACAGAGTCTCATTGAGTTGCTTAGTGCCTCACAGTTGCTGAGGCTGGTTTTGAACTTGTGATCCTCCTGCCTCCTCAGTCTCCCAAGCTGCTGGGATTACGGGCATGAGCCACCACGCTTGACCTCTTAATATATTTTTAATAAGTTTCTCAATTCAAAATTAAATCTATTTTTTTAAGAGAGAGAGAGAAAAAAAAATCTTTTTTGTAGATGGACACAAAAATGCCTTTATTTTTATGTGGTGCTGAGAATCAATTGCGGGTCCCGCCCGTGCTAGGCGAGCGCTCTACCGCTGAGCCACAATCCCAGCCCCTATTTTTTAATACTACTATGTAATACTTATTTAATATTGGTATAATTATGCTAATAGTTTCTATAAACTATTTCAAAAAATTTTTGTCTATCAAGAAAACAGTACCTTCATATAATGTACTTTAAAAGCTTCACATTTCACTTGCCAATGAGAAAAAGTTAGAAAAAAAACTTTATGAATATTTTAAAGTCATTTTCAACTTACTTAAATTTGTCCAAAGAAAAAAACTTTTTCTTTTAAATAATATAGTTGTGAGAATCTAGTTAGAGTACCAAAAATACAAATGGAACATTAATCAGTTAGTATGGCAACCTACTTCCAAGCTTATTGATAGTAATTATACAAAAAGTTTTAAATTCTTAAGCCAGGCCCAGTGGTGCATGTCTGTAACCCTAGCTACTCAGGAAGCCAAGGCAGGAGGATCACCAGGTTCGAGGTCAGCCCGGGCCATTTAGCAAGACTCTGTCTCAAAATAAAATAAAAAGGGCTGAAGATGTCACTCAGAGGTAGAGAACTTCTAGGTTCAATTCCAATAAAACACACACACACACACACACACACACACACACACACACACAAAAGTTTTTAAAGATATAATTTGTAAAATTCTACTAAACTGTAATTCTAAACGCTGAATTTATAAATGTCCAAATCTACAAATATAACCCATGTACATACAGTACTTCTTAAAACACCAAATCTACCTCCTTCCAAAGCCAATAAAGTAACAGTCTCTTTCAAACTTACATCATGTAATATATGCTACAAAACCAAAGAAAATGCTAAATAAAGAGATGTAGAGAAATTGAAACACTGTACAATGCTGGTGGGAAAATAGTGCAGCTGCTATGGAAAATGACATGAAATTTTCTCAAAATTTGAAATGCAACTACCACACTAGCTTACTCCCAGATAGCTACCCAAATGAACTTGACTTAAAGGGATATTTCCAATTCCGTATTCATTGCAGCAATATTCACAATAATTAAGATGTCAGTGCCGGGCACTGTGGCATATGCCTATAATCCCAGTGGCTCAGGAGGCTGAGGCAGGCTAGGCACTAAGCAACTGAGTGAGACCCTGTCTCTAAATAAAACATAAAACAGGGCTGGGGATGTGGCTCAGTGGTCGAGTGACCCTGATTTCAATCCTCAGTACTGTACCTCCAAAAAGAAAAAAAGATAATTAAAATAATTAAGATTAAAAATAATCTGTTAGAAACAATTTGATTATTCACGCACAGATGAACCTATAAAGAAACTGTAGTATGAATGCACACAATACTCACACAGATGGGAATACTGGGATACTATTCAGCCTTATATAAAAGGAAATTCTGCCATTTGCTACAATATGGATGAACCTGGAGGACATATGCTAGATAAAATAAACCAAATGAAGAAAGCAGATCCCACAGGATCCCATCTATATGAGGTGTCAAAAATAGTCAAACTCATAGAAATAGCAGCATGATGGTTGCTGTGGCTGAGAGCAGAAATAGGTAAGTTGCTGTTCCAGAGATAAAGTCCACAGATAAAGTCTCGGTTACACAACATGCGTAAATTCTAGAGGTCCTCCATACAACAACACTGTGTTAACAGTTAACAACACTGTGTACACCTAAGTTTGTAATGAGCACATCACATACTATAAGATAAAAAGCGACAGAGAAAAATATAGTAAGATTAAAAATAATCTGTAAAATAAGTCCAGATTACAACTTTAAAGAGAAAAATCCAGCTTTTAAAAATTAAACAAAATCCAATTTTAAATTTTTTTTTAAAATAGGCCCTAACTGTAGTTATATTAATACTTTATCAGAAGCAACTCTCTATATACAGAGTACAAAAATCAAGCTTGATGTGATTAATATCAGACTAGCCATATGTAACTCATTCTAAGTAATTACAGTTTTCATTAAACTAATAGACAAAAGGGCTAAAGGGAAAATAAGAAACAAAAAGTGATGGCCATGAAAAACTAGATCAAAGAAAACTTTGCATTAGAAACTACATTCTTAGAACTAGTCACTGCCAAACCACTGCTCAGAGAGCAGTATCAAGTCCAGAGGTCCTTATGGCAATGAGTAACACTGAATATGCAACGCATTTTCCAGGAGTTATCATGTCATGATCACAGAATCATCATTCTCTTTCCTCCTGAGACATGACATTATATAGCCAGTGTGGGGACTCAATCCATGGTAAATAAACCTGCTTTAAATACATGCATGCAGTAGGCCTTCAAACTTCATCTTGTTCCTCTGCTGTTGACCATGGTTTCATTGTTACCTGTGTGACCCTCCTCTGCCCTCCCTGAGCCCACTCATACCCCTAGTAGTGCAATGATGGCCAGCCCAGGGTAAATCCCAATCACTGGCTGCTAAACAATGAATTAAGAACAGATTCCTGCTCACCTCACACTCCTGTTCTCTGGCTGAACAGGATTCACTGTCGCCTTCTGTGTCAGTCTCAGAATCGTCACCCAAGCTGATTACGCAAGCGTAAGGACAAGGTTCTTGCTGGGGTTCTGAAATGTAACCATCGTTTCCAATTTCCAAATTGCTTGAACAGCCTTCGGTACTCAGAGTACTTATAAAAGGGCAGTTGACAGAACTCAATGTTGTAAAAGTCCTCTGAGCTGGTTCTGGGCTCTCACTGATCCTGATACCTAACCAAGGACACTCAGACCGCTTCTGGGAGTAGATTTGCTCTGGGCCATCCTTGGCTACCGCAGGTGATAACTGCATCTGGCAAGGAGAGTCAGTGCTGCAGATATCACTCCAGAAGCCTTTTGCTAGGTGCTCCGCCACCTCTCGCTCCACACTACTGCGATCACTAGATGCAATGCTACCATCATCCTTGGGGCCCGAGTCAGATTTCAAATGAACATCTTGACTTTCGCCAAACGTTTTCTCTTCTTGAACACCTGTACCTGACAAGGGTTTCTCTGTTTTCACTGCTGTGGTCTGCACACCAGCAAAATTCAAGTCTCCGTATTGGTCATATGTGTGTAAAAGAGACAAAGAATACAGTCCGTGAGAATCTGTAGAAGAATTGTGGGGGAAAGAAGTCACTTCTGTTTTTTCTGCTGGGCACTGAGAAGCGGGATCCTTTTTCTTCGTTTCTTCATGTTCCATTGCTGATTTGTTCTCATCGCATCTTAAAATCACCTGCAAATCTGCAGAGTCCTGGACTCCCCCGAGATACTCATTTTCACATGTCTCGTTTGGCTGAACAGGAGCAGCATGAACCTCTTTGACACTGGATTCCACAGTGCGGACTCTGTCAGTTCCAAATGCTTTCTGGAATTTTCTGTATTTGGGGCATAAAGAAGGCAGAGCCAGAGCAGCCCCCTTCTCCAAGCACATGGATTCATAGGTCTGACTGGCACTGTCTTGCACGGGAGGTGATGTTTTTACGTTTCCTTGATATCTTTGGAGTTTACACTGAGGCGTCTGAACATTTTTATTTTCCAGAAACTCCTCTACTTCATCAATTTCTAGGTCCTTCTGGTCCAAAAGTGAATATTTAAGGTTTGTTTTCTGACACTGTGATGAAAAGCATTTTTTTCTCAGGCATTCTTGCTGGTCTGCAGTGGGGTCCAAAAACTTAAATTTGAGAAACTGAAAACAGGATTCCTCAATATTGTGTACACTTAGAAATTCCACACACTTGCGCACTTCATCCACATTGTCTTTGCTTAAAATTAGCTTAGCAGTGTAGGCAAACTGAATTAAAGGTTCAAATCCTTTAACCGTCACCTGTTAATGGACAAAATAAAAATAAACACATCATTTGAAAGCTACCTAGTAGATTAAAAAGAAGAAGAAGAAGAAGAAGAAGAAGAAGAAGAAGAAGAAGAAGAAGAAGAAGTAGAGAGATGCATAACTTATTTGTGACAATTATGAAACAGAGATTTTTCATTTGGTAAGAGAAAATATTCTTCTAGAAAATGTAAAATTAAGGGAGAGTGAAAAAGTAGAAAAAGCAAGCTCCCCACCCCCTACTCACTGGGACCTGAACTTAACAAATTCTACTCTTATCTGCACATCAATTATGATTTACTCACATGAGGAAAAGACCTAAGACACTACCACGATTCTCTCATAAAGCAAAATTAAAACAAATCATCTATGAAATAAAGCAAGACAGACACCACCTGCAGCTCCCACAGTGAGCTGACAAGTGTCTGTCACTAGCCCAGCTCCACAAAAACCAACCAAACCCAACTACCATAATCTACAAAAGTGGATGTTTTAAGGGTGAAAAAACAATATATGTAAAGCACTTATAAAGAAGCCTTGACCCAAGGCAAAGGCACAGTAAATAGTACCTACTGTCTTTATCTCATGCCCCAAATTCCTACTAATAAAATTTTAAGAGATTCCAATGTTAACAAGCGATCCAAGTGAAGTTCCGAAAGCCATGCCTCAACAGTGTTTCAGCAAAGATTCATGGTAAAAAGTCTTTAAGCAGACTGTACATTTATACTAAACCTGCCCCTGCAAGGTGAGGGGCAGAGGGCCCTGCTGAAGCACAGAGGAAGCTTTGTCCTTGGTTAAAAAAAAAAAAAAAAAAACCAGATGAATTTACAAACTCTGAACTTCTACAAGAGGGATCAAAATATTATTAACATTTATGACTTTTTTAAAAACATGCTGATCTCTGAAAACCTGACATTTAAATGGCTAAAATAAAAAGAGAGACACTACCAAATGCTAGTGAGAATGCAGAGAAACTGGGATCACTCACACATTGCAGGTGAGAATGTAAAATGGTACAGCCACTCTGAAAAACAATTAGTTCCTTATGTACCTAACCGTGTAACAACCACGTGACCAGCTGTTGCACTCCTGGTCTTTTGTCACTAAGAAATGAAGACTTATGTTCACAGAAAAACCCGTACAAATGTTCACAGCAACTTTGTGGTCAAAAATTGGAATCAGCCTGATCTCCTCAATAGTCAAAAAGAATTCTTTAAAAAAGAAAAAAAAAAGTTTCATGCTGAGTCCACTTATGTAACATTTTTGAGATGACAAAACTTTAAAAGAGGAGGACAGATTACTGGTTGCTAGGGACAAGGGATGGAAGCGTGTTTAGAAGTGAGCAAGAGTAGGAAGGAAATGGGTGTGGTTACAGAAAAGCAGCTCAGGTCCTCAGCGTGGGGACTGCTCAGTGTCTTAACTGTGGTGGTTGGATCACAAACATTCTCAGGGGGAAAACTGTACAGAATTTAATACACACAGAGAAATCAGCCCGAGTGATCTGCAGCAATCTGAATACCGTGAGAGAGGTAACAACACCAATACCCTAGCTGTACCATTATACTTCAATTTTTCAAAACGTGACCACTGGGGACATTAGGCAAAAGTGTAAACAGGAACTCTGCATTACTTCTTTCACCTCTACATGAAATTACAATTATGCCCCCCAAATTCTTCTTTGATATTTTTAAAATAAGTTAAAATAACTCAAAGCCTCTAGAATAATTTCTACAATGATGTTTTCAATCTGTCACTATGATGAAACATTGAAAATATTTGAAAACATATATTCATTCATTCTAATTTGAAGGTAAATTATAATATACACATATGCATGATTGTGTCTTTTCTCATAAACCCATAAGTTAAATTTGCTCACTTGGAAAGTCTCATTAAATAACTGGAAAATATGAACCATAATAAGTATGTCTCTATTCTGATTTGTATTGTTCCTTCTTAAAAAAAAAATCAACTATTCTGTAGTTGACTTTTCTGTCTTCTCAGCACTGAACCCTTTAACCTCTGCCACTGTAGTGATAAGATAGCCTATCAGCTGACAAACTAGCCACAGTTCATAGAAGTATGCACAGCCAGCAATCAGCCAAGCTGCAGAGTTAGTTTACAGTTTGTCCCACGTATCCAACAGGGAACTTGCCACCCAGATCCGTCACACACAGGAAATTCTACACACCTTCTCCATATTCCTTACCTACCTCTACTTGTGTCCGAATGCCACAGACTTGACACTCTGCCAACTAAAGAGCAGCCTATCTGAGTCCCCTTTGAGTAAGAATCAGTGTAACCAACACTTGCTCCCCCACAGAGAGAGGTCTCTTGGAGCCAGGATACTGACAAAGTCCCAAGTTATCTCTGAGCTTGAGTCCAAAACAGGCTGAGGCAAAGAATGTATGTAAAAATAGGGCTCAACAAGACAAAACACAGCTGATCCCCAGAAAGAAGAAAGGGGAGAGAAAGAACACTTGTGGCGTGCCTGCTGTCCATGGGGATGTTTTGGGAAAAGGGATGATTTAGAGAACTCTAAACCTAGACACAGGTGTCTATCATGGAAAAGGTCTATAGGGAGAGGAAGTCACACAGTCTGGCCTCTCCAAGCCATGACCTTTACAATGTCTATAACATTAGGTGCGCCCTGAGTTAGTCACTTTGTCAAAATAACAAGAGTGGGTGAATTTCTCCACTGCTCAATAAACATTAACACCCCCAAATCAATAATTTTATAATGTAAATGTAATAATAATGTCTATGAAAAAAGCCAAAGGAATGGGTTGTTGCAGGAACCTGGGTCTGCTCCTCAGCCACCTGACCAGGAGGCTGCACTTTACTATTAGCTTTATGCACCACAATGTGTTTAAGAAAATTAAATTAAAATCACTAGAAACGTGGCCCCTCACCTCTTCTGGTAGAGTAATGTTAAGCTCCGCGTCAGCCTGGCCTACGATTCTGGCGTGGAAGTAACTGCTGCATGCCGCCAGCACTGACCGGTGGGCACGGAACCGTTGGCCCTCCACCAGGACAGTGACGTCGCACAGCACGTCCTTCTTCCGCTGGTCGTTGAGGCTGAGCAGGACGTTGGTGCTGTGCACCGAAGACTCGTAGGCAAACACCGGGTTCTCACGCAGAGACATCCTGCACAGCAGGGGAGAGCATGCTTCTAACTGTCCTCCACCTGCAAGCACACGCCAGAGTTCACCTGGTGAGATCTTGTTTAGAACTTTCTGGGGAACAACCAAGGGTCTTCTCAATGAACATACAGAAGATTCATCTATTATACCTCAAATTGGGTATGGTAAGTTTTTCTAATTTAAGGGAAAAGGTTCTTGGGAGACAGGGAGGGAGAACTTTTTGAACCAAGGATTCCTTGGTTCTCTGAAAATGAATTACTGTGGGCAAATAGATGGGGCTGGGAAATTGGGGGGTGGCATCCCAACCCTGTTGCTTTAGGACACTTGGTAGGTGTGGCAGGGAGGCAGTGGGAGGGTCACACTTTAGGAACACTTGAGTGGAACAGGCATGCCCCATGCCCCACCCCGCTACACCTGAGAGATGACAGGAGAGCTTAGTGCTTTATATCAAGGGACACCTTGGTACCCAACGTAAAAGTTTCTCCAACACCAGAAGAAAACGGCTCACATTTGCCAGGCTGCATCTCGGTAAACTGTCTTTTTATACAGCAAGTCTTACTTTATACTAGAAAAGACAGGCAACAAGGAAAACTCCTTCATCACTAAGGAGATGCTGCATCAAAGGTAGAAACTCATCAAAACGTTAAAATATTAACCGAAATTATCAAAAAATGTATATTATGGGGGGACTGGGATTGTGGCTCAGCGGTAGAGCATTCGCCTAGCACATGCGAGGCCCTGGGTTCGATCCTTAGCACCATATAAAAAATAAATAAAATAAAGATATCGTGTCCAACTACAACTAAAAAATAAATATTTTTTAAAAATGTAGATTTTTAAAAAATATATACTAACATGTAGTAGCCTCCAAATATTTTTTGATCACATACACAAAACTGGCCCCCAAAGGGGGTACTCCTAAACATATATGCTTATCCGTGTATTTCAGCCATGTATGAATATTGTGACATATACACTCTAAACATATAAAAATTGAAAGAGATTTAAAGGGAATATCTGGTCTATTCTTCCGGTCCCCATACTTGTGGAGAGCACCCAGGTGTGTGGACCCCACTGTGGCAATCAGACAGATGGAAGCCCACAAGCTCCTCACATGCACCACTCCTTTCTCTTCTGATGACATCTCACTGAAAACAAGCCCCTCTAATGAGAAGTGAATGAGAAAATGTTTTTGTTTTCAGATTTGCTGTACTGAAAACAAAAATGAAAGGAGACAGAAGGACGTTCTGCTGAAGTTCAGACAGACCAGTCCCCAATCATGGGTGGATGCCATCTCAAAAACAGCTTGTTTTAGCTGCAAACACATGAAAGACATCCATAAATTCTCTTGTACTGAGTGCTTATTTTTAAAGTCCTCATTATGGCTGAAACGTCAGTCTCCTGCAGTGGTACTCTATGAAAATAAAAGCTTTCCTTTTGTGGTTAGACTTCACCTAAGGTTAAGGACCATGGCATATCATTTACTGATTCAGCACAACCCATGAAATCTTTGGTAACTTCAAGATTAAACAGGAGAACTGACTCAACTGTTGGGTTCTGCCCTTAGTAAAGAGTAAAAGTTCCTTTCAGTAACTGTTCTTCATACGTCAGTTATCAACACAAGGAATTAGTGTTAGGAATAGTAAGGAGGAACCATCACTCAAGGAAATGATGTGTCCTTTCGTGGGTGATACAAGGTCCACTGTCCTCCTCCTTGCCCAGCACACACTGGCCTCTCCAGGCCAGTTGGATTCAGCTGACTACTACCCTACTAGGTCCTTGCATCCAAGTTCCCAGCTTTCCTATTCTCTTCTGCCACTTGACTTGTAAACTTTTAAAGGTATCCTATCTTATGTTTATAGTTTGTCACACACAGCACAGCAAGGAAAAACTGTAAAATCAGACAGACCTGGGTCACTATGAATTAAGGGTGTTCAATCTCAGCCCTGTTCACTTACTTTGCATGTCCCCATCTCTGTTCTCCATAACAGCTTTCCAACTTACCATCCCATTCCTCCATCAGTCTCTCTTTCAGTGCACCACCACAACTGGAATCCAAACTCAGAATACCTGTCCCACCACCTCCACCTAGTTCCTCCTTCTGTTGAAGACAATCACGAATGTCTTCTCCTAGCCCCTTACCACACCTGCTTCTCTGAGATCTAATCCCATACACCCTTTCCCAGACATACCCAATCTCTTCCTCTGTGTTGGCTTCTTCCCAGTTTTGTGTTTTTCATAAAAATGTTTATGTCTCTCCAGTCTATCGTACCAACTATTAATGCTCTAATTCTGCACCCAGCCCTGAGCTAAATACCACATGTTGTTTATCTCGCTGACTCCTCACAACTACCCCACATGACACTTTTCTACCCCAATTTTACAGAAGAATAGGAGTATCTTGGCCAATATCAAAAGACCAGTAAGAGAAAGGGAATTCACACCAAGCATTTTTACTTACTTCACTCTTCTATTTCCTGTTAGTATTTGCTAAATGCACAGTATGGAGACACTGCAGCCATATGGGGAGCTGGATACTTCTACAAGGTTATGCTTGAGAATAAAGAAACCAGCCCACAGAAAGGCAGACACAAAATAAACTAGACCTGAGCTGTAGAAAGAGAAAACTCTGAGCCTTGAAACCCAGAACCTAAAGGTTCTCTGGATGACTCCAGAGTCACCACCTCAAGGTGACTCCAGCAAAAGCAATTCCTGTGCCTTCATTCTTGAGCTGCTGTTTGCACAGCCCTGTGCACCTGTGCCCCCAACTCCTCATCCTGCCACCAGCTGGCTCACTATTTACCTAGACTCCAGCAGAATCATGCCCAGCTCGGACAGATTTTGTAAGAGATCACCCCATGGGTTCACACCCACTTACAGTCTGGCTGCCCTCAGACAGGGTACCAACCCCAAGTCCTACGCCCGCTCTAAGAAGGGGCCATCTTTCTTTAAGTGGACTGAGTGCAGCACATACCAGGATAGATGCTGCTTACACCAGAAACCTGGGACTCACTCCTGACACCTCCCTCAGTCAGGCTCGCAATCCAAATGCTCACCAAGTCCTGCTGCCTCTGCCTTTTAACACTAAGGTCCATTTCTTCCCCTCAGCACTGCCCATTCTAACCTAAGCCATCATCAGCTCTCGCCTGGACAGTGCTGTTTAACTTTTGGCAATGGTACATAAGGTCATGCATGTACAAATAAGGTCATATAAAAATAAAACAAAAGTTTCACATATCAATATTTTATCCTCGCCACACACAAAGTACTCTGTGTTATTTTCTCCTCTACGGGAACAAAAAAAGTTGCCGTATGATCTACTCAATTTCAAGACCAACTAATGGACCATCACTCCACGTACTGAAACACAGGCGCAGTGGCTAACAGCTTAGGGCTTGGAGTTTTATGAGTTCAAATCCCAATTCTGCCACTTACTAGCTAAATGGCCGTGGCTAAATTGCTCAATCTTGTTGTGTCCTAGTTCCCTCACCTTTAAAACAGGGATGATGATACCACCTCACTGGGATGGGGTGACATTTCCATGAGGTGATGAAGAAAACAGTTTAGCACAATGCCTGGCCCGCGGCAAGCAAATAATAATATGAGCTGATGTTTATCATGATGATATTAACGAAAGCCTTACACCCTCTAGGTCCCCTCCAATTCACTTTCTCCCTATCAGAGTGATTTCTTCCCTCCCACAAACCCCCTACAACATCTTCAAAATCCTTAACATGAGCTTCAGACCTCTGCGTCAGGTTTTCCATCTATTAATCCAGCCTCATCTCAAGCTGCTGTCACCTCCAGGCCCACTGTTCCTGCCTTCCTGCCACACTGGCTCCAAGCTCCAACTAATCTCAGGACCTGCACAAATGCCTGCTAAATGAGCTTCAGCTGCCTGACTCCTCACCTTTTACGTCTCAGCTTAAATGTCACAAATCTTGTCTGGCTGTTCTCTGCCAGACCCCAAGCATGTAACAAAGTACCTGGTCCAATACCAGTTCTTGCTTCTGAATGAGTTACTTGGCATCTTTAATACAAATCCCAAACTCATATTATCTAGATCACCTTCCAAACACAGTCCAGTCAGCTGTTCCAAAATAAATGGAAATGTCATGGAGCCAAGCATGCACAAAGTTCTTAGATGGCTTTTCCAGAACCACGAAAGGCAAACAGGGCCAGGCTCAGTACTCTGGGAGCTACAAACATACCTGCAGACAACTGGCCAAAGAAAAGCACAGGTTGCAACTATAAACTCAGCCAATACAAATGACCTGCATGAATGAAGACGCCGTGCTCACTGCTCTCAGCAGCAGTGGGCACTACATAAAGGCGCTCTGGAAACTAAATCTTTCTAATTTTGAAAGCTAAGGGGTCAGTAATCCATTTTTCCCCAATAATTCAACTATATACTGACTGTACCAAATAATAGCACTACTCCTTCCAACTTCTCTTATTCACGTATTTTTTGTGGCGCTGGGGATTGAACCCAAGGATTTGTGCGTGCAAGGCAAGCACTCTACCAACTGAGCTATATTCCCAGCCCTCACTTCTTCCAACTTCAATCAGACTAGCATTTTTCAGACCTGAAAAGTAAAATATAACACTCGAGCCTTTCGCATCTAAACTTTTATTATTATTAAAAACAAATTTAGAGTCTCATATTACACCTGAATTTTCATATAGTCTTGGAAATATACACTATTATTTTAAGTCAAAATAAAGTTTACTGACCTTAGCAAAATGCTGGGTCACTGGCTAATGCTGATAAAGGATGAATAAGCAATTTGAAGCTTCCTGTACCTCAACTTGCAACAACTTCTGCCAAGTTAAATTTTAATACATTTACTATTTACAAGCCAAGTTAAGTTTTAATACAGTTACCATTTACAAGCCAAGTTAAGTTTTAATACAGTTACCATTTGGTATTTCTGCTTTCAAAATAATACATAAAATAAAAGAAGATGCTGTGACTTGACCATATCTTAATCATGTTATAGAAAATAAAATTCTATGGTAAATGTGAGATTATGGATCTAGGTCAACAACACTTCGTACACTAGAAGTTTAGAAGAAAACTCTGTCTGAGGATAAAGTCCAGGATTAAAAAAGAGCTAGAATTTTATTCACCTGAAGTATCAAAGGACCATGTTGTTTCAATTCTCAACATGGAGGGGTATGATAAATAACCTAACATCAAGCAGAACGCCACCTCTGGGGGGAAGAGGAATGATCTGCATAACCACTTACACAGGCAGTGACTTCACAAAGGCATGTCTGCGGTAAGTCTTCACACAGAAACATCTTTCTGATCAATTTTAATTTAAGCATCATAT